CCCTAATGAGAAGATGGCACGTACCAAAATTCATATTAAAAAAATTGTAGTAAAAAAACTAAAAATAAAATACTTTGAGACGTCGGATCTAAGATCAAACGGTGAGTGGTTCTCTTGATAAAAATGGACGACTGGATGGTAGGAGGAACATAGAACTTATATGTTGTAGGGGGAACATAGAAAGCTTTCCCATATATATATATATAGGGAAAAGATGGAATTAGCCCACTAGCTCATATGAATATATGAGCCCAACGTCCCAGATTGAATTTGAGCTGATTTGACGATCGTGGATGTCCGGTAGTGCTTGAATTTTATTTTTTTCTGCAGATCCAAATCATTCAAAATTTTAGGTGTATGTTCATAAAAAATAGATGAATCTTCAAAAAATATCAAAAAAACATTTTACATGAAATAAGTTCACCAAAATACCCCTGAAAAGTTTTAGGGGTATTTGATCATTTATTTGTAGCGAATAATTTTTTTATATTTTTATTAGGTGCACGTTGATGAGAAGAACACACACCTGAAATTTTAAGTGATTTGGATGTGTAGAAAGAAAAAGAAATTCAAGCACTACCGAACATCCGTGATCGTCAGATTGGCCCAGATTCAATCTGGGGCATTGGACTTATATGTTTATATGAGCTATTGGGCTAATCTTATATTTTCCTATATATATATATATATATATATATGAGTACGTATTGTATGCTCCCTCATGAGCCATCAAGGACTAACTTGGGATAAAAAATTTTATTCCAAATTTTGGAAACCACTTAAAAGTGAACACAACTATATTTAAAAGGAAATTTTTGAAATTTGAGCTTTTTAACATTTAGATATTACCTTTCAAAAATTGGAAGATTTCTATTAAATCTTGATGCATTATTTTTTTCAAACATGAGAATGCAATTTGGAGATATTAATGATGCCATTTACCTTTGACACAAGGTGATCACAATTAATCTTAATCATTGGATGTGAAATTTGGTGGCTACATTTATTTCATTGACCAAGCTCAAAGTTCAAATTGTTTTTTCTCAAACTTTATGACATACTCAAGCTATCAGATTTTCACATCGGATGGTTGTAAGTAATTGTGACCTCTTTATACTAAAAGTAAATGGTATCATGGTATACAGTCTTTATCTTTCCTATTGAGCATAGCATACAGGTTGCACATGTCATATCTCCGAAATTTTGGGTCCTAAAATGCTCTTAGAATGGGTATTTTCGAAGAAAGTGATGGACATTTTGCTCCCTCTGGAGCAATGAATTATTTCGGCTAAATAAACATATAGTAACATGTATAATAAAACATATATATATGTGAAGGCCAGAAAATGAGTAACTTCTTTGCAATTTGTATATAGTTCCAAACCTCAATGATCATTGAAGAGTGCTTATTTTCACGATTGTTCACAAAATGCAAGCAAAGATAACGATATGATATTCTTATCAAGACAACCAAATGGGCCCTTTCTCATATTCACTATCAGGTGATGAGAAGAACAATCGATGTAGTGCATCCATCCATATGTAGTATTGCATCGGCTACATGAATTTATGTTTGTTATTTTACTTTATCAAAGGTCAAATCTTCAGTGAGGCCATAAATCATCATTATCTTTTCTCACTGCTTCCAATCCTCACATACATAATATGATTACATATTACAATATGCCATCCACCGTCTAAAGCAACATCTTACCAGTCCACCAATTGCAAACCAAACCTAAGTGTGTTAATTGTCACCACATAGAGATGGATAAACTCTACTTATCAATAGCTTTACCAACTTGCCCTCGTCGAAGTTAGCATATGGATTGCTCATGTAAGATTGGGATAAACCTGCTTACAAACCAATATATTTGATGTTTGATGGACGATTAAGTTGCATTTACGTGCACAGCTAACAGACAAGGCTGATAAGGAAAGCACATAATAGTGTAGTTATCAAAATCGGACCAAAATGACTGTACATCGGTCTAACTGTCGATCGGTACATTGGCATAACTGGTCTAGAGTTAAAAGTGGATTTGTCAAAAGCAATTCAAAATCAATGTTTAACCCATTTTCAAATGGCCATTTTAAGCCGATTTGACAGTCCAAACAAAATGGGTAACTTGTTGTTCCTAATATATTATATATTTTAAATTATTATTTCAATATTTTAAAATCAAGTCAAACCAGTTGATCAACCTGGCGACTGGTTTTAAATAGACCGATTCCTCAAAGATTTCATGGCCAGTCTAATCCTAAGAACAATGCACAATAGGTATATGAAGTGTGGTACATGGTCTGCCAAAGTGGCATCATGATGGTATTTCATATGGTGTATAATTTACAATAGAAAGTATTTTGGTGTGGTCGAGTCTAAATCATTCCTACTACTGAATTGGTGTTGAGTTTGCTCCAATAAAAAATATTTAAACCACTAAGAAAATAGATATAATTGAGATTTAAATATAGCGATAAAAGATAAAAGAGTATTTTTTAAAAGAAAATGACTTTGTGAGACCCTTCCACACCTATGTATATAGGACCCTAAATAATCACCATTAAATTTGATATAGATCTCTAGCAAAGTCAAGTCACATACTCATATGACGACTTTTTTAGATATTGGTGTCAAATTTAATGGGGATTATTTGAAGTCCTATACATATAGGTGTGGCAGGGTCTCAGATGATCATTACTATTTTTTAAAACTATAAAATATATTATTAAAAATTAAATAGTTTAATTTAATTAGCTTAGCTTGTTAAAATTGACACGAGGGATGAGCCAAACTTGATAAAACATTAAAAGATGCAGTTCATATACAGAAGCATTTGCAGGTTTAGAAGTAAAGTGTACTTTCAAATTTTATCGTGGTATATAATTTTGAGATAAAATATTTTTAAGATTATTTTAAAAATTATTTTTATATTTAATTATAAAATTTTAAATTTTAAAAATAATTAAAATAAAATAGATCTATAAACATATGAAAATCTTAAAAATAAACTGTGTGGATAATATGTTATGCAGTATTTTTTTAGACTTAAAATCTTGATATTTTCATAGTCCTACCTCTCGATGACCAGATAATTAATGTAAAGGCTTTTCAACATTAAAACGACCTTTTCTCATCGATTTTTTAGGGGCACGGGTTTTTGCGCCATTTTTTTTTTTTGCCTCTTTTTCTTTCGGTAAAATTAGGGTTAATTTTATCACCTTATATGAATTACAGAGAAAGAAATCCATTTCACTGTTTCTGGAAAATTCAAGTTTTATTTTTCTCGAATTAGGGTTTCTGCAACTGCAAAAAACTAGGGTCTTTCTTCGTATATTAAGCAGCAATGGCTAACCTTAACAGATCTTCGAGTGCTCCATTGCGAAATGTTCCACCTCCTAGAGAGCTTCTAGATGATCTATGCAGGTGATTCATCATTTTGATGTTTTGATCTTTATTCAACACTGGTTTTATTGGACTATAGTTTTTTTTTCTCTTTTGCTGCAAGTATTGGGTTTGAATATCTATTATCTAGTGGTTTAGTCTTCATTTTCTGTGTATTTAATCAATATTCTGAATTATTTGCCGGAATTATGTTGTAATTCAGTGAGGCGACGTTTTGACTGAAAGTCCAAAAGTTCACTGTTATTTAGTCAGTATTTTGTCATTTTGTTCCTGATTTTGGACCAACTTCGGTTCATTTTGTATAGATTTCATTCCATTATCTTACTGAAATAGTTAATTTTGAGCCATTTGATATCTCTGGTGTTCAGCTTGTATTTGATCTTTATTATTAGAATTATTTTTTCTGTAAATTTTGGCCTTCTTCCTTGTGTAAGACATGAGATTATGGTTCTTTAAGTTTCTAAGAAGGGAAATTTCAAAAATAAAGAGGTTTCTGAGAAGGACAGCGAACATTTTTTTGGGGGGTCATTTGATTTAATGGAGTTTCAATCAATAAACCGACCTGCTAATATCTGCGCAATTGGTCAAGGAAATCTCCATGCATGTCTTCCTTTATTCCTTGTCAACAAGCTTAAATTTAAAAATTGCCATGCCTACCTGTATCTCGATCCATTATAGCACTAAAAATTTATTCACCGAGCACTTCAAAATGCAGCTATCGGAGTCGGGCCCCTAATATTCTCCTCTTCCCATGTACAGTTTTCTACAGTGTAACATCATTTAAAATGAATCAACCTTGAGATTGATTGGTTAGGTTTTGATGATTGCAATTCCTAGTTCGAGTTCTACTGCTGAACTACTTAAAAGAAAAAAAGAAAAATCTCACAACTGATGTTTGATATTGGTTTCATGCATATCTTAATGCTTTGATCTTATGCTACTAAATGGTTTGAAACAATGCATTGTACATCTATAAAATGTATAGCACAATACACAAAATAATAGGGGGTCATGTTTTCTTTCTTCATGTACAATAGATTGACCATTAACCATATGCTATAATTGTCATATTCAAATCTGTATATAGATAGACAGCTGATTTATTATAATCATATGCAATCTAAGAAAAGTCGAGCAACATTTCTGATCTGGTGCTGCTCTTGACCTCAAGGTTGAATTATCCATTGAAAACACCGTGGGGTTGAATTCTAAAGCATGTTCAAATGAGTGTTTTTGGCTTCTAAGGTTCTGGTTCAAAAGTGGTCCTTGTGTTTATTGAAAAATAGTGACGCACCATGCCCCAAATTTGGAGCCTTCTGCAAATCAAATAGTTCGGTGAACCATTTTTGAATTCTGTTTGATTGGCCTAGCGAAGCACAAATTATACATGCCTTTGTTTCTTTTTTTTGTTTGACAAGTAAATTTCATTTAAACATTTTTTAAAAATACAAAAGAGGCAAATCCAGAGATGTTAGGTGACATCCCAGAAGCCCTACTCACTTGCAACTCATCACGACACACACCACTAGTGGCCAAGACATCTGCATCAGTGTTAGCCTTCTAAAAACATGACAAAGTGGATACAACAGGAATCACAAAGATCGAAAATCTCATATCAAGCAAATATCTTTGCACCGATGCTTCCTTACGTGGCCATTTGAGGGCATTGAAACAATGGTTTTCCAGGTATTTCATGAAGACATTTGCACTTGCATGAGAAACATTAGTCTCAAAATTGGCCTTTCAGACATAGGGCAAATGGGATTTTGAGAAACTTTTAATTTTTAGGATAAAGTTAAGCAAAACTCTCTATGCGTGTATTATGCCCTTCCATGCCACGACATGCCAAGACCATGGACGTGTGTATTCAATGGGCATGACTTCCATCCAGTCTAAGAAAGGTTTAAGAGTAGTAATAGGAGCTTAGCCCTTCCTTATAGGAGGATCAAACAATCGCTTAACCCTGAGTATGCCAATAATATAGGTGCCCCCACACCCCTAAGGATCCTCCCTAAGCTGTAGAGCCCAGTTAACACACAAACAACCACCAAAGTTAGCTTCCAAACCTGGATTACGGAGCAAGCTACCATAATTGCCCACTCTGATATCCAAGTGACTCTAACGCTAATGTCTTCCATTTTTTAAGAGGCCAATAAAAATGAAACCCCTAAACTCTGATGTGGTCATAGCCTACATGATAACCATGTTCTGGACCCTTCTCTAATAATGGCCAATGTTTCTCCTTGAAGCCTATCAAGAAGCCCATTTTTTCTTTTTGGATAATTTGTTGAAATTATATATATCAGTTTTGAAGTTTGATATATTTATATGTAGTTTTATCTAGCATGGATGGGATAAGTGCAAGGTAATTGTTACTTTGGGCTCTAGGCTCATGCAAGATGGGGTGTCTATGAAGGTTTTCCTTTTCTGACTCCTCATCCAATACAGTTTTTCTTTTTGATCCACCCCATACAGTTTGCATCTTATAGAGGAAACTTTTCATATTTATGTTGGTTAGATCTGCCCTCACTGAGGGTATGGCCCTTGATAGAGAAAAATGGGGGACCAATATTCGTGTAGCTGACCCCGAACAGTTGGGAAAAGGCTTTTAATGATGATGTTGTAGGTTAGATCTATGTGCTCTAGTTTTTTCACTTAAATATCTTATATGCCACTCTTTAGAGGTCCTAGATGCTTCTTGCATGTTTATGATCAGACATTCGGACTAAAAGTTGATTCCTGTTTATTAAACATCCCCACCATTTTTAAGTAACCATGTTGCATTCTGTGCAGCCGATTTGTTTTGAATGTTCCCAAGGAAGATCTCGAGTCTTTTGAGAGGATCCTATTTCTTGTGGAGCAAGCACACTGGTTTTACGAGGATAACTCTATGGAGCAGAACCCATCCCTAAAGTCTCTATCTCTTAGAGAATTTACATCTTTGAGTATCCTACTCTGTAGCTCTTCTTACTTATTGCTTCATATCTTGTTGTTTACTGTGAGGTTCTTGTGGCACATTTTTTTGGGATGGTCTCTTTATTTAGTGGTTTTCAAAGTTTAAATTAATGAAACATGGTTTGAAATTCTTTGGAGTCCATAACAAGAATTTCACACAGATGGGATATCCACTTGTCTTCCATGAGGCAAATAAATAAGTAGTCCATTTGATATTTTGATTTTGTGCAACATATGTTTGTTTTCATCTGGTCAGGACCTTCCTTAATCCCTATTAGTGTTCAATAGCTGTGCTGCATTGAGACCATATATTGCACATATTGATGACATTTACAAAGGCTTTACTTCCTACAAAGTTCGAGTTCCCGTAACTGGTGCAATAATTTTGGATGAAACGTATGAACGGGTATGTCGTTTTTTTATGGGCTATGAACTTATTGTTCTTTATTGTACTATTCAACTAATTGCTGATTGCTTTGGACTTTTTTTATGCATCAAATATTTAACCAATTCTTCTTCTCCTTGCCAAAATGCAACTAATCCTAATTCAAATTTTTGATGATGCCATGTCCTCCAAGATGGACACATATGCTGTTCTCTTTGTGCTTAATTGTTTTTGGTGAAGCACTTTGCATCTCCTAGCATGGACATCGATTCTTAGGATAACTGAGAGAATTGATATTTAAGGAGGGTTTTGGCCTCATCATTTTGCATGTATTTGTTACAATAGGGGTGCCAATGGGTCCGGTTAGGTAGACCCTGACTGGACCTGGACCCAAAAATATAATGTGGGACCTGGATCCAGATCCAACTGGACCTTTCCGAAAATTACAATAGCTCTGTATTTAAATATATTTCATAAATTGGGGCCCGGACCCAGATCTGATTGGACCAGATCCGACTTGTCAGGCCCAATTTTTGGACCCATACCCGCATCCGGATCTACCCATCCTGTCCCGGGTGGGTCTGGGTCCATTGCCACCCCTAAGTTAGAAAAAGTGTGAGATGTCAAAATGAAGCCCTAAATATAAACATATGTATGACTGTTTATACCTTTCATTTAACCAGTCACACTTTGCTTTGGTTTTGTGGAAATTCCAACTTTGGGGGTGTTTTTACTCATCAATATTCGATAGCCAAGAATGGAAGCAATTTCAAAAATAGGACTCATCTGGATAGAGGCCTAGTGGAGCTAGCATCTAGGTCACCAAAGCATCAAGGATTCTACAGATGACCTAACAAATATCCAGAAATCTTGATGTATGGATTTTGGGAATTACATATATTTGTTATAACATTATTGATCTTGATACATAAATTTTCAAAAATTTAAAGCACAGCTCTGAGTGGTCTTTATGAGTTAAATGTTTTCAGGAGAGAGCACATTCATCTGATATGCTGGTGGCCTCAATATAAAAATCAACCATATATACATATTCATTGCACATCACATGTGTACAGCTTGGCCACCTGTTTGCGTTTGTGGTAAATATTAAAGAGATATCAAGCTTAAATATGTTTATTGTGATAATATTCCACAACTCTCATATTCCTCATCTGGATTAGGATAGCTCTGATAGGATTTTTGATCATTTCTTTGTGTTCGAACAATGCATAAGCCGCACTATGGATTCCAGTTTGATGTCCTGTCAATTACAATTCATTTGACTGGGTTGCTGGGATATATATAGCTCTAGATTCTGATTCGTGGGAAATATATCTAGTTGAATGTGATTTGCCTACTTAGCAACGAGATGCGTCTTTGGAGATTGGGTCAAATGATCCTATACACTATTTTCAGGTTTAGAAGTTGTCAGGTTTGTGTGAATATTAGCACGCCGGATGATGTAGATGTTGTTTGCAACCGAGAAATTCAAGGGCCTGGTATTGATTATTGGTTGTTGTTATACAAAGGAAGGCGAGAATGGGTTTTAGGTAGAGATGGTCAGAGGGCAAGTGCTACACCGTGGCGTCTAGAGTTCCATTCTCACCAGGTCCCAATTCAACATTCAAAAAACAAAAACAGAAAAAAAAAAAAGGTAAGAAAAACAGCAAGGCTTAAGTTTGTGACTCATGGCCATAAGTGTGATACAAGGAGTATGAGGAACATGGTTTTCTATAAGCTGTATTGAGTGTTCAATGGAGTCATTACAGTCTGCTTATTGAACGTGTAACCCATAAAAGAAACTGTGTATGCACTCTTCTTTCCCATAGGGAATTGTAGGACACACTCGTATAGATTAATATTAGTTTAGAGCATAGTTCTTTGCAATCCGTTGGAAATTTAAGTTTAATTTGGAGTTTTTTCAAGCGCTTTCAGCATTTAACGAGTGATTTAAAGTGTGACTGGATTCTCTTCTGAATCCAACTTGATCAGAAGGAAGGGTATTTTATATGTACCACACTATTTCATTTGGTTTCCTCATGTAATTGTCATTCCCCCTCTGTGAATTACAATCTAAACAGGCCTGAAACCTTCTGACTTATGTTATACTAATCTTCCAACTATACATTCTTGACAGTTTTGACAGGTTAACTCATTAGTTTCAGCGTATTCAAAAAAAAAAGAAACTCATTAGTTTCAGTCATATGAGGTATTTAAAGGCTATAAACTCTTCATAACTTATTTCAATGACACTGCTTTTATGTGATTATCTGCTTTTGTCTTTGCATGTTAGTTACTTCATTGAAGTTGTTTTTCTTCGGGTATTTTATCATCTAATGTTTATTAACAACTTCATAGAATCATGTCTTCCGATCCTGTTCCATTTTAAATTTTATCAGTTATGGCAACCCATGAATATTACATGCCTGTTTTACTGTATCTGGGAGTATTGATTTAGAGTTTTAGACGATGACAACACTTCATTTGTATGTATTGTATAATGCAGTGCTTGCTAGTGAAAGGCTGGAAAGTGCCAAGCTGGAGCTTTCCTCGTGGTAAAAAGAACAAAGATGAGGAGGATCATGCTTGTGCAGTCCGTGAAGTATTATCTCTTGCCATAATGCTATTTGACTTGGATATTGTCCTATACTTTTGAACGGGGGAAAAGTATGCCATACCCTCATGAACTATGGAAAAATCATAGATTGCATGGTCGTCACCAGACTCACCACTCGTTGGAGTGACACACGGAGTAAAAGGCAAAAGACCTGGACATGTCTTTAGTGGTGGCTCCTACTCTATTGCTATCTCTGTCAATCATTTTATCGGACAATGATGGGCCTGGTGGACTATGTTTATTTTCACTGTTCAATAGGTTGTAGAATAGCTTGCGCTTACCAAATGTCATAGGAAAATGTTACAGAAATCATCATTGTATCATTTTCATGGTTTGGGTCATTGTTCCACATTGAGCTCATTTTTTTTAATGAACTCTAGGTATTGGAGGAAACTGGATTTGATGTGTCTAAGCTTTTGAAAATTGAAGACTACCTTGAAGTTGTAGATGGTCAGCAGAGGGTGCGGCTTTACATAATAGCTGGAGTGAAGGAGGATACAGTCTTTGCACCACAAACCAAAAAGGAGATCAGTGTATGCCACTTTCCACGTGTCGTCTTAGTTTAGCATAGCCGTCACTTCGAAGCTTATATATAGTAAACAGAATCTCTCTCTCTCTCTCCCTATCTATCTCTCCCCCTTCTCCCAACAGCCAGACTTCAGGTTTCTAGATTATAAGTGTGGCATTCATGGTTGTTTCTTAGCCCATTGTATTTTTTTGTTTCATAATGACTTCATTATCAGTGTAAATTCCTCCAAACTTATTGTATTAGTACATGGTAAAGATCATGGGACCAGACACTGAAGTGTTTCAGTATTAAACTGAAGCTGTTTCTTGAAAACAAATATTGAATTAGAGCTGCTTTTAAGGATTGTCTTTGTCATCTATCATTACATCCTTAGACTTCCCTTGTACTTCTTTTTTCTCTCAAAGTTAGCTATTATATTTGCAGGAAATTGCTTGGCATCACCTAGATGAGCTTCACCCAACAGGGTATGAGACAGGCAATCGTGCGTACAAACTTAAGCTCTTCATGGTTTGCCCCTTCTTGCTGTGAGTACCATATCTCTCTCTCTCTCTCTCTCTCTCCTTGTGGATTCAAACTTAAGCTCTTAGTAGTTGCCTGCTTCTTGCAGTGAGTACCCTATCTCTAATGTAGATCTAAGATCTCATTCATGTAAACTGTTCACAAAACATCTCTCTCTCTCCTCTCGCTATCTCTCTCTTTGCAGACCGCTTAAAGCATGGATTGCAGCGCACCGTCCCTCTACAGCTCCAAAATCTGAAGCAGCTCCAAAAGGTTTCTTTATTTTACTTGGTCCTCCTTACGTTGCATTTGAGAGCTTCTTCACGGAAAACATTCAAATGAATGTGTGTTTGTTGAGAGAGAGACAGAGATGATGTGAGCCCTACTTATGTTTCCTTTCTTGAACAGTTACATGCGTTTGGAAGGCGAAGAGTGGTTCTACAAGTGGCATCGGAACAAGTGAAAACATAGTCGTATCGATTGATCCCCGAGTTGATAGCCATACCATGGTCGATTCTGGCCCTGGTAAAAGCTTCAGGAGTTTCAAATTTGATACTGGCCGTATATTACAAGCCATGGAAGCTGCATTTTCTAGTTAAGCCCAATTACATAAATTGAAATTTATATCATGTATCATATCAAGATCCAACTCCTAAAACAGATTTCCCTATTATCCTAAATGCTTTATTAGATCTCTCTCTCTCTCTCTCTCTCTCTCTCTCTCAAAAAATAGGTTGATTCAGGGTTGCAGTGAGTCCGCCATTCTAAGGCCCATCTTGGATTATAAATTTTGGATCAATGCTGGTGGATTCACTTTAGAGTATTCTTTGGTTTGGTGAGAAAAATCTTCGGCTGATTTGAAGAAAGCTTGTAGACTTTTGTAAAAAAATTTAATATAAAAAACTTAGATATTTATATAAGAGAAATGATTTTATAGGACCATCTCCCGACCATGTGTGTAGGACTTTTAAAGGATCACCATTAAAGTTGGTATAAATCTCTAGAAAAGTCAAGTTCACACTCATGTGATAATTTTTTCAGAGATTCGTGTCAATTTTAATGGTGATCATTTAAGGTCTTACATACATGGGTGAGTGAGGGTCTTATAGGATCATTACTCTTTATATAATATATAAAAATAATAGAAAATTTTAAAAATAAAAGTTTCAAAAAAATAACAAAATACTTATATATATATATATATATATATTTTGCTCTAGTCGAATTGGCTTGAGCAAACTCGAGTCTAAACAAATTGGCAGGATCAGGCTTCGCTTTGCTTGAGGCTTAAAGTCCAACTTGAATCTAATCAAAGTGGCAGCATCAGGTTTCGCTTTGCTTCAAGCTTTAATCCAAAGGCTTCAGCCGAAGAGAAGTGAATTTGACAATACTGTTTTGGATCCAAAATTTTACTTTTAAGACTTAAAAATGGTCTATTTTGTACTCTTTTATTTTTTTGGGACTATTCATTTTAGTTATTTAAAAATCATTTATTTTGCACAGTTTTCGGAACTCCTAATTCATGGATTTGAGTTATAAATAGATTGTAGTGATATGGGATGTGTCTTGGCTCCCAAATTCTATAAAAACTAGGGCAGATTTATGAATCGTCCTGTAACGTATTCAAGGCACCTGCTACCATGTATAAGAATAGACGGTATGGTGTACTCTTGTGAGAGTGCATTGTATAATTATTCCTTTGGGCAAAATATGTAATTCCTTATTTTAAGTCCTAAATTTTGCTACCTGCTAGTCAGTGACTTGTTGACTATTTTTTGAAAACAGAAAAAAAACAAACAGATTTTGGGTTTTTGAACACTTCAGAGGATATGATCCCTAAGAAATAGCATAGTTTTTGCTCAATTCTAATTCAATTTTAGGAATTTCTTTGAAGTACATATAAAGATGAATCATCATCATTAGAGTTTTTTTCCGAGTATTTTGGGTGGGCTATATGAATTTTGGTTGCTAGTTTGTTCTATCAATGGTCATACTTTCAACGAGACTATAAGTCCTCATATATTTTCTCACTACTTTCGACCATGTCTTTTTGCCATTTTTTAGTCTTCCACTTGAATCAACGCGCATCTCCTAATAGATGTTGTATTAGGTACGTGTTACATATTGATAGCATACCTCAATCTACTTTCTATCATCTTATAGCCTATTGGAGCCACAACTAAGTTCTCCCGAATGTATTCATTTTCAATTCTATCCCTTATTGTCTTGTCATTCATCCATATTAACATCCTTATCTCAGTTATTTTTATCTTATGGGTAATGTTGTTTTTTAATCGCCCAATATTTTGCTTATAAAGTAAAATTGGTCTCACAACTGTCATACAAAACTTCCCACTCAGCTTCATTGGTATGAGGCGACTACATAAACTCTGGTGGCATATCTCCAATTTGCTCACCCAGCTCTAATTCTATATGATATATCTTCCTCAATTTCTCCATTTTTTTAGATTCTTAACTCAAGATTTCAAAGTGTCATATTTTTTAAATTTCTTGATCGTCAATCTTAATTACTTCTTCGTCTCCACTCCTATTATTATTGAACTTGTAGTCGATATACTTTGTCTTAGTCCGATTAATTTTAAAACCTTTAAATTCTCGAGCATCCATTCAAAGCTCTAACTTTGTATCGACACCGCTTCAAATCTCATCGATCCAAACTGTTTCATTCGTGAACAACATACACCACAATACTTCATTTTATAGGTGTCTAGTAAAGTTGTCCATAACTATGATAAAGAGGTATTGACTTAATACTAACCCTTGGTAGACCGTCTTCTATCATAATCTTTCTCTAGATCAATAAAGACCATGTAGAGGTTTTTTTCTTTCGCCATAAACTCTTCAATTAGCCTAAGTAGAAAAATGGCAAAAATTGTTGACCACTTTGGCATAAAATCAAACCAGTTCTTTGATATACTCATTTCGTGCATTAGCCATTGCTCAATCACTCTCTCCCAGCTTCATGATATGGCTCATAAGTTTAATCCCTCGATAGTTCGCACAATTATGTATGTTTCATATGTTCTTGTAAATAGGTATCACAATATTTTTCCTCAATTCGTCTGATATTTTTTTGTTCTCAACACTTTATTGAACAGCTTGGTCAACTAGACAACGTTAATCCCCCCCATGCACTTCCAAACCTCTATCAAGATATTATCTGATCCAAAAGCCTTTTCCATCTTCATCATCTTCAAAATTTTTCACTTCCGATCTTCTAATGCTACAAATGTATTTATGACCTCTACCCTCATTTATATCAATGGTTCATTCTACCACTATGTTCCTATTGTGTTTGTCATTTAATAATTTTTAAAAATAAACTCTTCAACTTTTGTTGACCTCGTCATCTTTTACCAAAACCCTTTGATCCTCATACTTAATACTAAATCCCTATACTTTTCCTCACTCAGTTTTGCTAATTTAAAAACTTGTTTTTTTTTTCTATTCACATTTTATTGTTACTGTATGGATTATCATATGCTTTAAGTATAACCTTATTTATTATAGTACTTATCTTAACTCATACCAAGCCAAGATAAAGGAGGTAGGGTATATAAGGTAGACAGTTAACATAATACTTTGCTAAAACCTTTCATGAATACTGAATCTATATATAAAAATGAATATGAAGCTTTCTTTTTTTGACATCATCCCTAGGTTGAACATGAAAAAAAAAAATTAAACCATTAATGATGTCATAACTCCAAAATGTGATATCCTTCAAGATACTCCTAGGGTATTTACCTGAATGGTCATAGGTCGCATACAATTTCCTACAAGGACAATTGGAAACAGCTAGAGCAGGGTCGTCGCCTTTTGAACCACAGTTAAAAATTCATCCAAAATTGATGTTCAGGTGTCGAAAAAGCATCAAATAGATTAACTTTGACAATCATTAATCCAAGAAAGATGAATCCAAAAAAGCATCAAATAGATCAACTTTGACAATCATTCATTCGAGAAAGATGAATCGATTTTAAGAACCGAGTGCAATGCATCTTGTAATACATTGATTGGATATCCATTTTCAGGTGCTCACACATTCGCATTTAAACTGTATTTTGAAGCGTTCAATTCCATAATCACACGCAAAACTAGAATTTTCAAGTTTATCATAAGAATTTCCAGCACAGGAACTACATTTTCTAATGAAGTTTTGAGATGCGACTTTACTTTTAACAGTAAATCCTCAGCCTTCCACGACTGCACCTATACCCGTTTCCCTCTGCAGATTTCTGGACCCAAACATTCCTGCAAAACAAACGCGCCCCAAGGATAAACAGCAAATAAAACATTGTTCTTTTCTCACTTGCAACATTACACTATTACATATCATCTCATATACATTCTCTCTTCATGATCTAGAAAACCCAGTGACCGTAAGGTCCTGGAACATTGTAATTTCCCCTCAATAACAAACAACAGAACCCCCCAAGAAAGAAAAAACATAAAAAAATAAAATAAAATTACAACAAAATTAAGCACAGCTTAATGATAATATATCTCATCAAATCTGTAAATCTTTCAACCCCCTCTCTAAAACCTTGTCATCCACCCTCTCTGCCCGCTCCCCAACTTTTGGGGCTGTCGCCATGGGGCCTGTTGTGAAAACTGGCGCAACGTGTCGCACTTGCACTGGAGGAGGCATCCGCACATGTGATGGCCTAGCTGAAAAAACTGGGATTGCGTTCCTTATTGTCACTGGTGGGGCAGCATGGTGGACAGTCGGCCTATATGCAGGCCCCACAGGGTAGAAAACCGGCCCCACACCAGCTGGAATCTGGGTTTGAATTGCTGAAATCCGGTTTTGACCTGCTGGGAAACTGTTCTGAGTGGCAGGAAAGCCGCTTTGACTGGCCGGAACCTGGGCTTGAGTAGCCAGGATCCGGTTTTCCGGCGGGATGAACGGCGGAGCGTGGGGATTCGGGCGTTGCGTCTGCCTTTGTCGGATTAGAGGGAGGATTTTGGAGCCTAGGTTTTGGGTGAAGGGTTTTGGATTGTGTTGGTTTGGAAATGACAACTTTGCCCCAGGCAACGAAGGAGAACATGGGTTGCTCTTATTACTATTGTTGAGAAGTTGGTGGCGAAAGTTGACAAGGGCACGTGCAATGGTGATTTGCTCTTGCTCGTCACTTGGCTCGGGTGAGGGGGTGGCCCCCTCCGATGATGTCGGAGACGACAACGAAGAGGTGAAGGAGCTTGCAGCTTGTTGTTGTTGAGCCACTTAAAATTTGAAGCGAAACCGAAAGGGAAATAAAACCAAAGAAATATATTTAGTTTCAATGTATTAACAGAAAAAAAAAGTCGAACAAACCGCAGAATAATGTTTGAAGAAAACCAGACAAATCAGAGTCCAGATTGTCTTTTACTTTTTTTTTTTTCAGGGAAAAATTCGGGCTAGAGTCAGTTGGAGGAAGTGGTTACAGTGGCAATAAATTGAGAATTTTGAGGATAGACTGGAAATAAGGGATTCCACCCATTAACTGAGATCAATGGGGTCGCTAAAACTGGACATGAACAAGTTTGATCACAGCCCAAAATGGTTAGATTCCAAAACTACATTGTTGGAAACCAGAGACATTTTGGTTCTCTTCCTTTTCAAGGAAAAGAAAGAATAAATGGTACACAAGTAAAGAAAACCAGAAACACTTTGGTATTACAACAGATTATCACACTGTAAATCCAAACAATTAAAACTGCACTGTTGAGAGAGAGAGAGAGAGAGAGAGAGAGAGAGAGAGAGAGAAGAGAGAGAGAGAGAGAGAGAGAGAGAGAG